CGTCAGGATGATTTCGACATATTTCCTTTAGCGAAAATCCAAGATTCAATTAAAAATACAACTTTACTATTATTATTTATCTTTTATATCGCAAACCTAAATGTTTCAGCATTCTCCACAAACTTGTTAAACTAATATCGCACAGTTCCTTGTCTTCTATTGTTCCATGTCTATTGATCATGTTTGAGATTTAGAGAACTCCACAAATTCTGTATTGTAAAAAGAACATCAAGGGAATATTACACATATGAATAAATTTACTTTTGGAAAGAAGTAAGAACTTAAAAGTGACAGATGCAGCTATTAAAATAAAATTCAGTTCATGGAAAGTACATCATTGAATGGACTTCAGTAGAAGAAAGAATCGTTATGGTAGATATGAAACAAATGGAAGGTACATCAAAATATTTGTCATATATACACCAACATGGGACTACGATACAAACACAGAAGACACTTTCTTTGACAAACCTTCTAAGAAAGATTATTAGCCAAATTTAACATGATAAATGAAATTTAAAGTCATTCAATTTCGTATTTACTACTGAAAATATGTCTTCACACTGTGTATCTACATCCAAATTCAAAAGGTAAAAAAGTATGTGTTTTTTGGAGGATTACTGCTTTAATCCTTGTATTTCCAATTGTCTGTTGTCAGTATGTGAGATTGAAACTTGAAATTGTTATTACTGTACTCCCCTGTACTGTACTATACCCCTTCATTAATTTTATACACTCTTATTTCTTAGTTCTGTTTGTTCTTGTGCTTTTAACTGATCTTATACATACAATTTACAATTTTTTTGACTTTAAAATTAATTGTATTAAAAGTAATTCAAGTAAATGCATTCTCTTCCACAGATAAGTGCTTCCATAGTAGTTATATGAGCTTCAAACAGTCAAATGAGGATCGACTCAGATATAATACACATTGAAGACGATAACAAAACAACAAGAAACTCTACCAAGTGATACTAACACAAATAGCTTACACACTTAATTTTTTTAACAAACTACTCTAACCACAAAGATTATGATACAAACAGCACAAAGAAAGAAAGAATAAAACACACTCAATGGTAGGAGGATCTAGGATCACTCAAAGGTGAATAAATACAGACATTGAGTAATTCAATATAAAAGCGACCAAATACACAGTCACATACTAGCACAAATTGATCTGAAGAAATGATACCTATATATTATATTCTCTAAGAGTACCTACATAAAATTATTACTAGAATCAGTGTGCAGATAAATTATTATTGATTGCATTGGTTTTGCCGTGCAAAATGCAGAATTACTTATTTGTTGAGTTGCAGTAATTAGTTATAGTGCCAAAAATATAAACATACTTACCTTGAAGTCTTTTACATCACCAGTCATAAACCTTTCGCAATATCTATTTGAATCTACTCCTTGCCATGCAGCCGGGTACTTTTCTAGATCTACCAGGTATACCTAAAATAAATATGTATTAAGTGTAAGAAAACATACTGAATAAAGCAATATTCCAAGCGAATTAATCGGTTATAAACTTTTATAATTGCTTACATTTGAAATAACTTAACATTTTCTATGAATCTAAGCATCACTACGCACTTGAAATTATGTATAGCATTGATTTTTATCATTTTTGTACTACTTTTTAATTATAATAATAAAATAACTTCAATAACAACAAAATATTTTTTTAAATTTGAAATTAAATGATGTTGACAGGTTTCTATGACAACTGATACGCTCACTGTCACTTGTCGTTGCTATTTCAGCCAATGAAATTAATGCATATTTTTTTAATTTTACTTTTGTTGATGGTTGATTTAATAATATACAAAAAGCTTTAAAGTATATTTATATTACTAATAATCCTAATATTGCTTAACCACAGAATACAAATTAAAACGTGAAAATGATTTACTGATTGTGATTGGTTCTAGTTGTTTTATTCCACGTACAGGAAAAATTGAGACATTAAATAAAAAAATTCATTCCGTTTTTTTCTATAATTATTAATTTTTACATTGGAATGTAACACTTGCAATAATATTGTGTTGTGCTTTGACCTAACACAATACTTTATGTTTTGTCTATTTGTTTATAAAATATAGGTGTCACAAATACTGATCTTCTGCCACCTGTCAGATAATGTCACTCCCGTTATGAGCTGTGGTTAGTGCATAGCACACTACCACCTAGCAATGAAACTTCCGTGTTGACGAGTAAAACAATGATTGGCGCATCACCTAGTGACCGGGCGCCTAACTATATATACATGGCGCGAAATTCAAAAGTTTAGTAATATTACTTAGGATTGTGAACTCATTTTAAAGTAAAGGAAAATCGATATAATCCTAAAATAACAAGAAAAATCCTTATCTTATACGATAATAAATATTTTTCGTATACTTTTTGGGTTTTCTTGTTATGTTGAGACTATATTTATTTTACATTACATTAAAATGCCAGTGGTTAAAAAAATTAAAGAATAAAATATAGAATAAAATCTTTATTTATAAAAATATTACAAGAAATGTTATATGTGTTACAAAAAATGTTAATAATACAAGCCAAGTGTGTTACAAGAAATATTAATAATACAAGCCAAGTGTACTATAATTTAGTTTTCTTAATGTTGTGGCAAGAACTGGTCAGTATTTAAATAATTGTTTTGTCTTAGTATGTCAAGTTTTATGTAAATAGAAGCCTAATTCTGCAAAAGGCCTTTTACTACAATTTTATTCTCATAATTCGCAAATAATTCAAACAGTGGTATAGAACATTCAAGATTTTTTTAGAAGGCAATTAATCTAAAGATAAATCCCTAGAAAGATAAGCATGCTTGTAATAAATTTAGTCTATAATTACATAAGCGAAGCAATCAATGGGGAAAACCAATTGCTTTTTTCACACATACTCTCACACATTCAGAATGAAAACATGCAAATGCGTTGAAGTATTAAAAAAATGCAGGCATTATCTGGTAGGAAAGCAATTCAAACCAATCACAGATTAAATCACTATTTTGTTTATATAGAATGCTGGCATATATAAAATCTGACAAGGAGAACTAGCTTTACTTCACAAGAATTTATTAATTATCTACACTCTAAAGGAATATTTCAAGTAGAACAACACCATATAACCATGAAGGAAATGGTTAAGTTGAAAGATACAATGAGTTATATAGAAATTGGTGAATCTAGCATTGAAAACCAAATATTTAGACATAACTAAATGAAAAACTTCTTTACCAGGAGCTCTGTACTATATAAGAAGTTTACTATTGCATTGTTATATTATTGAATCACACTAATGATGAAGATGAAGTCCAAATAACACATTAGAGAATTCCACTACTAAATCAATGCCAGATGTGACAGAAAATTTACCTGTTCAAAAACCTGATGATAATTATGAACCAAGATTGGAAAATTCAGATTTTCAATCTAGCTGTAAATCAGCTGGAGCTAAAAATAAACCAAGATAGTTGCAATATTTTGTTCACAAATAGGGACAGGTAAATGTAGTATAATTTAGTGTTCTTAATGTTGTGACAAGAACTTGTCAGTAATTAAATAATTCTTTTGGAATTCTAATGTCAAATTAAAGCCTAATAAGCAACATATAGCCGTCAGACATTCTGAGTTCTTTGTAGTACTTACATCCTAATTTAATAACACACACTACCAGCGGCCAGTAGGAACTCTTACTGCCTGGCATTCTACTCCCAGAAAAGACAGAACTCAAGGTCTCTACTAAGTTGGAAACAGAAAAATTAAATGATTTAGTTCTAGAAAGAACTTTATATACATTTATATGATAATATTTTAGTCATATTAAAACCTATAAACCCAACAGTTAGCTCTAAGATTCTAAGATCCAGCAGTATAAAGATGGAAAAATAACATTAAAAATAAAAAAATATGTATTACCTAGTTACAATAAAAACATGAAGTATTTTACAAAGTTATGTTTCCAAACTCTATGTTACCAGTAACTCTTTTCTACTAATATTTATATAATTATTGAGAGACATATTAAATACATTTAGATTTAGGTTGTTCTACAAAATGGAACATTAAAAGTAAGTACATAGATGAGACAAACCATGGTAATATGGTACTCTAAGACCAATCTCACTTACAAGAGAGAGACAGATTCCTCCTCGCACTTAACAGGCAAGCTCATAGACCTCTTCAATATGATAGTGTAGTCATGGTCTGCTAATCTAATCCAACTTTGAAAGGCGCACACCTGTAGAAATTATGTCGAACCCTCTCTAAGGTGATGATTGTTAAGATAGTTGTTGAACCACCACCTACAAAATAATTAAAATAGTAAGCAAGTAAGACTGATTTTATAATATATAATTTTAGGTTAAATTTATAATTAACCAATTTTATAAGTAAAAGGTCACATACATACATATATTGGCATAATAGTTCTTACCTGGTGCTGGTAAAAACAAACTCAGAAGGGCTGTTCTCGTAATAGCGGTGTGTCCAACATTAATTATATCATCCTCTTTAAAATGACTAGCGCATACACGAAAATTGTTATAAATAGTTTCTGTTGCAGCATTCTCTAATTAGGGCTTCTAACAGCATTCACCCATTTATCAAACATATCTAATGCTTGCCTAGTATCCATGCAATTTGGAATACATCTTTTTTGTTCAGTTCTTCGTCTCTACATTGTTATTCCATGTAATGTGTTCGATTCCATAATAAAAAATCGTCTAAAATTTTACCTTTTTGCACTACTTATATAAAAAAATTTAAACTATAAAATAAATTATAAAAATAAAATAAATACAAATATGGCGCCGTATTTGTCTAAATTCAACTTTTGATTTGACCACAGCACACTCCCTCCGCGTAGAAAATAGACTAGTAGCGCCACCATACGAATGGGCGTATGGGCGCCTAACTCCGAACGTGATTTGACATTGCCTATCCCTGTTACCAATCTAGGTATAATTTTATCTATGGGTTAGTGTCAAATTTATGGTGTAATCAGGTCGAGTGTCACCCACAAGGATCAACGATTTTAAAAAAACCTTCAAAACTATCTTTACAATTTGGTGTTGATGTTGTTACTTGTGCATCTGTCATTTGATTGCTAGTTTATTGCTGTAGATAGTATTAGTAGAATTAATAGATAACTTATAATACTCATATAATAATATACTCAGACTTACAAACAGTATTTATAATGGTAATATGTTTATAGATATTTTAATACTCATTTATTCTTCAACTAAATTCTTCAGTAAACGCCTACCAAACTGATATCTAATCAGGAATGTTATTTTGTAGATTCGGTTCATCCTCATACAGAACAGAGCTGGAAAAACCAGGTTAGCGAAATGGTATATGAATTTTGATGATGATGAGAAACAGAAACTAATTGAAGAAGTTCATGCAGTGGTTACTGTTAGGGATGCCAAGCACACAAATTTTGTTGAGGTATGATATATTTATTTCTTTTACTTTTATCATAAAAAAATCCTTTGGTATATCCTTACAAAATCTATTTTAAATATTGAAATGGAAAGTTTTACTTGCAAGTGAAACATTAAAGGAGCTCCAATCTTGTAAATGTAATAAACAGCTCTTTAAAAACTACTTCATTGTTACTATATAGTGCTTAAAGATAGTATTTTTATATCACTTGTGATTTTCCCTTTTAATTTTATAATATTTGTGTTTTGTAGAGTATTTATAATTATTTTTGTTTTGTTTTCAGTTTCGTAACTTCAAAATTGTATATAGAAGATATGCTGGGCTCTACTTCTGCATATGTGTGGATGTAAATGACAATAATCTGAGTTACCTAGAAGCAATACACAATTTTGTAGAAGTTCTTAATGAATATTTCCACAATGTATGTGAATTAGATTTGGTTTTTAACTTTTATAAAGTATATACAGTGGTCGATGAAATGTTCCTAGCTGGAGAAATCAGAGAGACTTCCCAAACAAAAGTTTTAAAGCAACTGTTGATGTTAAACTCCCTAGAATAGCTGTTTTTGTTGATATTCGGTATGGATGCTGATCAGTAGCATTTGATCTTCTGTAAACTGAACCTTTATGTTGGATGTGTGTTATTGTATCTACCTAAATTATCATTTTACTGATAGTTAATGCAGAGCTAAAAGCTAGATCAGGTTAAGATAAGTGTAAAGTACTCTATGACATACTTAGTATCGAAATATTCCATATTATTATGTTTTTTTAATGTTTATGTTTAGTTTAAGGAAAATATATTTTTAACGTCTCAAATTGTTAAATGAAGAGATATTTTAAACCAATTTTTATTAGATAAAATGTACACAAAACGGAATATCTCCAAATTTAATGAAATATATAAACTATAATAAGACAAATAAAATGCTTCATTTACTTGTTTGTTGTACAGGTTTTTTATTATTTTTCACACATAAATGAATAAAGTAAATAAGAGCAAATGGTGTTGAATTTTCGTTTATATAAAGTACACACTGTAAGAAAAGGAAAATCGGAACAATATTAATGAAAAAAAAAGGTTTTATTAGGAAAATCTTAAACAAAATTAAGCCATATGAAAGAAAATATAGCAAAACATGGGAAAATACCTGTTAATAGAGCAGAATGGGAAATCATACACAAACCAAGCAAAATCAGTTGGGGAAACAAAAAAAAAGTAGAGAAAAGAAACCCTCTAAGGACAGATTCTAGTTTCCCAAATTTTAAAAAGTTCAAAAGGTTAAAATACCAAATATACGTGTAAAAACATATTTAGCATATTACTTATATGGAGATAGCAATGAAAAGAAAGTAGACACATAAAGTTTGAGCATAAAATATAGAAAATTTGATTTGTATTTAGTGTATTACGTGTTGCATAATACAAAGGAAAGTGTGAACGGTTAGTTTAATAAAAAACTTATGATCATCAAAAAAAAAGTTATTATTTAAAAGGACAATGCAGACAGAATTCATATATTTAATGTAGAAGACATTGCGCTAATACTGATAAAACAAACTGAGAAAAACATTATTTTAGTTTAAGAAGTTTCCAAAAGAACAATAAATATGATTTAAGGATATATTTAAAAATTGCATGTACATTAAAATAACAATTACGGCATTAAATGATAATAAAAATATTTATCTTCAATTACAAACACTTAACAAAGATATTCCAAAAAAGCAAACAAATCTTGATTCCAATTGAATAATTCCAATATAATCATAAATATATTTAATCATCTATAAGGAGAATTATACCTTTTGGTACCAATATAATTAAAAATTGTGAAAGATATGTTAAGAAAAAATATTTTTCCCAATATAATTGCACCATTAGGTATGCAACCATACATACGTATATTTATAAACCACCAATTTTTTATTTAGACTTTATTAAATAATATATTATGTTTCTTTAAAGATCAGTCCTTTTTAAATAAATTATTTCTTTGGGGTATTTAAATATAAATATAATGTTATCATGAAACATTTATTGACACTAATTTTAATTGGTCAAATGTTTGTATTGGACAGCCTGTTTCGAATTTACGTAAATACTGTCAATTTTAATTCAAATTGAACTTGTATTATTGATAGTAGAATCTGTGCTTATTTAAAAAAGCCAAAAATAATTGAACATCAATAGTTTACTTAGTAACAAACAATAATTATTACTTTGTTTTCCAAATAAATGGTTGATGCTGTCGAAAGAAATATTTTGCAAATCTCCATTCAAGTAGGTACTTTTCAAAATGAACAGACTTGATAAAACGAGGACTATTAACTTATATAAAGTAGTCGAAGATATTGCAATTTCAGTGTTTCAGTATGAATATAATTCAATCACCAAAGAACTCATATCAAAAGTACGAGTTCCTTCTCTAGTGCAAGTAAAGTTTGACCCGAACGTGTTGGATACTCGAAAAGACGGATCTAAATTAGCTTTTCGATCCTTGGATAATGATGAAAGGGTAACTAAGTGGAGCAAGGTAAAGGAGCCAAGTGAAGTTGTAACGTATGTAAATTCAGCCTTAAATATTCCTACTATGATAAGATGTCAAAATTGTGAGGTGATTTTTCCGACTAAATACCAATATCAAAGACACCAATGCCAATTTAATGCAGAAAAAGTAGTCCTAAAATCCGAAGGTAAAGAAGTGTACATTGAAAATAGAGTTACGTATGTATGTGAAATTTGCAATAAAGAATTTGTTAGTGAAAATAATTTGCAACGTCATCAGTTGAGCCATAAAAATGCACAAGAAAATGTTTGTGAGCATTGTAATAAACAATTTATCAGTGACAATCGTCTCCGGATTCATAGAGAGAACCATTGCAAGAAATCAGGTGATATTTCAAAATTTTACCGTAGTGATATATCGGTATGGAAATGCAACAAATGCCAGCAGGTATTCTCCTCATCATTAGCTGCCAATTACCATACTGCTTCTTGCACCGAAACAGTGAAACCAACCTATCAAAATATTCAATCAACGGATACTGCCGATGCTGCAGAATGTAATTCAAACACGGACATAGAAAAGGTGCTAACTGAAATCCTTCTACAATGTGAGTTTTGCAACAGAATTTACACTGATAAAAACATTTTGTTGATGCATCAAAACATGCACACAACTGACAAAAATTACGAATGTGTCAAATGTTCAAAAGTTTTTGAATCTTACGTCATTGCTGTTCAACATTGGATGAAAAAATGTTCGGATTACATGAGTCCCTTTTATTTACCAAAGCTGGTGTACTGTGAGTTTTGCGACAGGACCTTTAAATCGCACGAATTATTGTACACGCACAAAATCAAAAGGAAACATTATACACCGAAGATACAAACAACGAATCCGGACGAAAATGACAAAGAACAGGTAAGCAATTTAGACACGAATACCGATAAACAGATACTAGATAAGCTGGTTGAAGATGTTTTCAAAACTTTAAATGTACCTTCGAACACAATTAATGGCCAAACGGAGGCAGATAAAGAAAATATCGATGGCGATACAGCAGTGAATATAGCAGAGAAAAAGAAACGAGGAAGAAAAAAGAAATCGGCGCAAGAGTCTTGTATCAGGTCGAAAAAAATTATGTTGGCGGTTGACAATAGGATTAAATATCAATGCGAAAGGTGCGTCCAGGTGTTTGATACCGTTATTGATCTGGAGGAGCATCGAAGAACAGAACATACTTCGAATTTCACTTGTGACATCTGTGGTCAGGTAAGAACACTTTTTTAATACTAGATAATTTTATTTTAAGGCAATATTATTTATGTTGAAAGCAATTAGATGGTGGATGAAGCACCTGTTAATCTTCTTCTTCTTCTTCCTTCTTGTATGTAGGCTTTAAAGCTTGTTTCTTCCTCAATATTAGCCTCCTAAATTGTTTAAATTGTCGCGCCATCTTTTTCTTGGTCTTGGTCAATACTTCTTCGTCCATTTGATGACTTATCTCGTGCTATTGTCCATTTGGTGACTTGTCTTTCCTCTGCTACTTTTCTATCCTCTGCTATTCTACTGATGTGTTCGTTCCACTCCTGTCTTCGTTTTGTCACCCATCCATTTATGTCTTCTATATTGCATACCTTTTCCCTGATATTCATCGAGGTATTTTCATCTCTGCTGTTTATAGTGGTCGTCTCGTTTTAGATGTGTCAGGTCTTGTCTCCATGATAATATAGGTCTAATTGCTGCTTTATAGATTTTTGTTTTTGTGTCTTGTCTTAGATGTTTGTTCTTCCAGATTGTGTCATTAAGAGATCCCTCCGCTTTACTTGCTTTTAGCTTTGTTGTCGTACTTCTTCAATATCTCCGTAACTAGTTATATCTATTCCCAGATATCTAAACCTTGCTTCCTGCTTTATTATTTTCCCATCAATTTCGATTTTACATCGTAGTGGGTATTTAGATGTTGTCATACATTTGACTTTTTCTGCTGATATTATCATATTGTATTTCTTAGCTGTTGTATTGAAGATATGTGTTAATCTTTGGAGCTCGTCTTCTTTATCATAACAAAATATTTGGATTTCTTTGTTCCCCATTCTGTAGCCATGACCTTTACGTACTGCTTGTATTATTTGGACCATTATTATATTAAAGAGAAGTGAGCTTAATAAGTCACCCTGTCTGACTCCGCTTTGTTCTGGTATACACTTTGTTAGTTTTCTATTTATCTTTGCCTGTAGATGTTTTCGATGGTTTGTATAATATTGATTGGTATGTTTCTTTTATATAGTATGTGTAAGACATCTTCGACTTGGATGCGATCGAAAGCCTTTGTCAGGTCTATAAAACATAGATATGCTGGTTTAGTGTACTCGATATCCTTTTCTCTGATTTGTCTTAGTACAAATATGGCGTCTACACAGGATCCTGATCTGAATCCTTGTTGTTCATCTGATAAAGTTGTTAGTTTATTGATTTTGTTGGTTAGGACTTTTGTGGTAAGCTTAAGTGCGGTGTTCAGTAGATTTATACCTCTATAATTGTTGAGGTCTGCTTTATCTTCTTTCTTGAACATTGGTATCATTATGCTCTTTCTCCATGCGTCTGGTATTTTGCAGTACAATATTAGTTTTTGTATAAGTTTTGTCATCTCTAGGGTTATACTTTCTCCTTCGCGTTTTAGAAGCTGGTTGGTTATTTCGTCTGATACGGAATAATACCTTATTGTGTTGATTATTATTTTCCTTTGCTTTAAACAGTTTCGTTAGGTATTTTTCCCATTCGTTTGCTGGTAAGTTATTGTATTCCTTCAATTCTGCCATTTCTTTCTGTTGGTTTCTTATGAATCTCCATATATTTGTTTTTGTGTACTGTAGAAGTCGCTTTCCATCCTTTTTGTAAATTGTTCCCATAATTTTTTTTTGTTCTTTGCGTTTTCTGATACATTTCTCTTGTAGAGTCTTTCCACAGTGATTCTACATCGAATTTTTCCTCGGCGATTTCCTGTAAAAAATTTTGTTTTGGTGTTATTTTCATTCTTATCTTTGCTAGTATGTACTAGTTTTTGTTCACTGCCTGCGTCTGCTGAGTTTAAAGTTTTGGAATTAAAAATCGTTTTATTTTGAAATGTCAGTTGCCACCTATGGTTACCCTTTTGTAGTACCATATGCCATTAGAACAAAATTAATGCTACACAATGTTACATATTTGTAATCAGGAAGTGCAGGGCTACTCAAAACTATAAAAAATACAGGGTGTCCCATTTGAAATATTGAAGATGCATTTTATTGGGTACTCCCTGTATACAAAATTTGGTCTGTTGCTACATTCCCAAAATTAAGGGAAATAAGTTGGGGTCAAAATATAATGAGAAACCCTGTACATAGTGTAGAAGATATGCGGCTTTCTTGTCTTCTGGTACTGCAAAGACATTGAATGCACT